ACTGACACAGTTACATCGCCTTTTAAGTTTTTATTAAAATCAATTCATTCCAAGTAAAGCAATAGAGACACTAGGACTCAGTTGGTTTCTGAGTAAGAAAGAATATGAAAGAAAGATAAAACATTATTAAGGCGAGAAACCAATAAAAGAAAAAGAATTATATCACGCGAAGCAAGGCAGGAGGGCCACTAACGCACAGAAGGTTACAGAGAGTGAAAGTAAAAGAAGAAAGTGTGTGTAGGGGGATTAGACAAAGGAAAAAAAAAGACAGGGATCAAAGCAGTAGAAGATGGCTATTGACGCTGCATTTATATTTTTGAAGAGCAAATTTAACAGGAATGTAAGAAGCCGAAAGGGTTTTCCACAAGCGAGAAGTGCGAGAGAAGAAACTCTTAGAACAGAACTTACGGTAACATCTAGCTACTTCAACTTTATGATGAGACCTAGCTGCCAATCTAGTACTGCTTTTATATTCATAAAGTCTAGGAACCAAATAGGAAAGCTTATCGGAACAATTGCCATGAAAATATTTATAGAAAAGGCAATAAGAACCTACTTTACAGGGGTGGGAAAATGAGTGAAGCCGAGATACCAGGCCAGGGAAGATAACATTGCAGATTCTTATTTGCATTTTAATAATGTGTATCTTCTTGGGTTTGACGATAAACTAAAATCGGCAGCAAGGCCTCTGATCGGGAGATTGGAGGTTTTGAAGAGTGTGGAACAACCTCTTAACTACTGTTGTCCCCAGGTCGACCCAGACAACTAGTGACACCATCCAAAAAGAATATCAGCTCTACATTTTTATAGTAAAATTATCAAAAATACATTTTTTTATAATAAATTGAACAACAATACATGTTTATCGTAACATTAACGGTCGTCCGGCATCGACTGACTGACTGACTGACCCACTGAGCGACCCCTCATTACTTTTACTACTCCTATTTATTATAGGTGGGAGAGTCTATTAACTATAGAATAGGTGTGTTCTACTATAACAGTCCCTTTAATTGAAAAAGTTTTCCAGTGACACAATGATATTCGCGTTTTTATATAGGAGGAAATGAGCTATAGAAAATTAAATAATTCTGTCCATTTAATTAAAAAAAAGTGTGATACAGTGACACAATATCATTCGCATTTATTATATAGAGAAGAAGATTAGCTAGAGAAAATTAGAAAGCTGTGTTCCTTTAATTGAAAAAGTGTGACACACTGATATTTGCATTTAATATATAGATGACAATCAATATAACACGTATTAAAAATACATTTTTATAATAAAATGACATTACATTTTTGTAGTTTTTTAAAATTAGCAGCAATAAATTTTATCATCTCTAAATTTACCCTGAAAGTATAAAATTATATACCCGATATCTGTAGTACAAGGCATAAAATTGTGTACAAAATATTTAGATTTTGGCATTACATTAACCATAAAGGTTTATATGCCGCTAAATAAAACCAACCATATAAATATATAGCAGAAACACCAGACCCAGTGTGAGAGCAATATTCAATACATGGACGAATGGTCGACATATTAATGTGTAATTTAAATTCTGGCGAAAAAAATTGTCTAGAACGACACGGTGAACCAATTTTCCTAGCTTCAGACTTAGCAATTGATTCAATATAACAGTTTCCACTTCATGTGCACGGAAGATATTAACCCGGGAAAGTTTCTTAATATGTACCGGGTGTAACAGCAAAATTGTCCAAATCGTGTAACAGCAAAATTTTCTAATTCTGAAATTAAGATTTGAACCGTTGTATCTCAGAAATGATTAAATATATCTTACTGGAATTCTGTGAGGCTTTTGTAACATTATTGGTCTCTACTTCGAACAATAAGACTATATTTAGTTCTAAATTGAAATGATGATCTCTCTTGTTGTTGTGACGCCCTGATCCAGTTTTCCCTTCTACAGTTCCGTCTTTTTTAAACTTATTTACCGTTCTCTTGATGATTCTTGAAGAGAATTGGAAGATGGAAGCCAGAGTATGAATGTTGCCATCATTACGGAAGGCCTGAATTATCTTTTTCGTCTCACCATCGCTCAGTGGGAAATACATAGTGGGACAGACACAAAATGTTTTTAACCTGTTTTTCTAGATGAATATCTCAAAGAGCTTTTCAGTGATTCTCACGACCAATGGTGTCAAAATATCTTAAAGTCTTATGTAAAAACCTGGAAAAAAGAAACGCAGTTTAGTGGTTATTTAGACATTAAACATTTTGTGGGATGAACAATTATCCTACGATTTGGACAAGTTTGATGTTACACCCGCATTGTTAGGCAATTTAATACAAATATAATATGAATAAAATGTGCAGATAATGTCGACACGAGTAATATATTCTATGCAGCTTCCATTATTTTCAATTACAGCCTCAACACACCCACGATAATATACGCGCATCTTTGCACGTAGTCTTTTGACATCTTTGCTCTGTCATTGATCTATAACTTAAGGGATAATGATATTAGGTGATCGATATGGCTGATGTCCGACTCCAGATGGCGTAATCTAAGGAGTTCATCTCTGGGCTCGGGAAGTGTCAAATGTCCGCTGATCAGGGAAAAAAATCTTCATAGGACTTCTGAATCTTTTTGTCTGTCTTCCTGGCAACACAATCCTGTGTCTCCATAGATTTGTTTGAACTTGAGCCATGGCTGAACATCACCCCTCAGTGAATTGTAAACAAACTCAGCATTCCCATTTACTAAAAAAATGTAAAGGCGTATTTTTCTCCATTCTCGGCTACGGCGCACAAGATGTTATATTTATTAAGTGACGTAATTCCCCATGTATAACACGCCTTCATACATAAAACGCACCTCAAAATTTGTGCTGAAAGCGTGGGAAAATGCTCCTACTCACACATAACATGCACCCCTTTTTTTTGGCCAATCAAACCCTATAATTTGTACCTCTCCAATTTCATTACGTCCAGCGTTTCATACTCTTATTAAACATGGTTTTAAATATGGAAGAAAATTATTCTAATTTAGTTTTATGATAATTCTTATTTTATTTTATATTTCTAAGTATCGTTAGCTACATAAGATTGTATTTGACATCCTTATGGGGTCGCAATCGACGAAATTTTAGTGTCAAAATGTCGTATGTTTGAGTTGAGTAGTCATTTCGTAACTAAAATCGATCTATGAAATAGCATTTTTTTTTGTAGGTGTGCATAATACCCACCCCTAAATTTACTTATTATTTAGCCCCAGTGGAGCGTTTCGGTTAGCAAGGTCGATTTTACATTGGCTAAATCGGTAAAGTCACGTCAGGCTATATGACGGTTCCGTATAGGATACAGGTTCGAATCCTGTCGGAAGACGCATATTTTCTATGAAAATTTCTTGGACATTCAGGCCGGTAAATGTCGTTAGTACTGTTTATTATAAACAGAGCATTTACTTAAATATTTGTATCTATAAAAAAGAACGTATAAACATAAAAAAATGTCTTAAAATAATTGTCGGACTTTGTTCATTTCATAATGTGTGTGCACATATGCATATATATATATATATATATATATATATATATATATATATATATATATATATATATATATATATAAAGTGGACATAAAGTCAACACTTATAGGCAACAGTCTCTTTCATGCTATATGCTATATGCAATCGTCAGGCCAAGTGTGCTGTTATTTTCTCGGCTATTTATATATATACGGGTCAGTGGTGCATTGTGGGTATTCTATTATGGCTGTTATTTTACCGGAAGTCGTTTATTTATTTATTTGGGTTAAATTATTTTGCTTGTTTTTATTTATTTTTATTTTTTGTTTCTTATTTTATTTATTTATTTATTTATTTATTTTAATCGGTGTTTTTATTAACGTAGTAAAAAATTGTTTATATCACTTATTTAATAGTTTTGTTTTGGTTTGAGAATTTAATTAAAGCTATTTGTTCGGTTTTGGGGTTGATTGTTGTAGTTTATTCTAACTATTATTTTGGCAGGAACAGTTTTTAATTTGGGTTTATTTGGGTTGATTATCTTTATTTGTTTTTTTCTAACGGTAACATTATCGGGATTGGTTTGTTTATTTACTTGGATGAATTTAGGTCAATTTATTTTACTTGTATATTTTCACTTTTCCGTTTTCGATTTTTAAATAACGTAGTATTTATTTATTTTTTATTTTTATTTTTTTTATTCTTATTTTTATTTTTTATCGTTATATAACTGTTATAGCGAATTTTTCGATTTTTTGGTTTGACTTTATATATATATATATATATATATATATATATATATATATATATTGAGACACGCGTTAATGAATAATTTAGAAAAAAATTGTCTACTTATTTTCAATTGAATCCTTTCATATTAACGGACAACCTTTTTGGTGTCATTTTTTAAAGGGAGAGAGAAAACGGCCGTGTTGATACATATTATTTGTATTATTATATATATAGAAAGGCAATGAAGCTACTAAGACGCAAGGAGGTACTGAGTGTCTGAGAAAATAAAAAAAATATTAAGAGGCTAGAACAACAAAAGAACGACAATTAAAAAAACAAGGTAACGATTGATATTGCATTTATATTTTTGAAGATTAAATTTTACTCCGGAAGTGAGTTTAAGCCGGAAGTGAGTTCTATGAGTGAGAGGTTCGAGAGAAGAAACGGTTCACATAGAACTTACGGTTATATCAAGACTTTTCAAATGTTGGTTGGTTGTTTTTCATTTAGCGGCATATCAACATCACTATGGGTTATTTAATGCCAAAATCTAAACATTCTCTGTACATAATTTTATTTTGGGAGATGATAATGGTTTAGTGACAAGTCCTGCTAATTACCCATAGCGGGTGAGAGAAGAGGTGGTCTCATACCTTTTCCAAGTGTATTTGCGCGTAAGTGAATATAATGAACCCGATTGGAATTAGAACTCGGCTCTCCGATTAACAATTCTGAGTCTTTATCAATTAAACAACATATACATCCAAGCTTACAACACCTAGTATTTCCAAGCGGTCACTCATCGGGGTACTGACGACGATCGATGTTGCTTAACTTCGGTGATCGTACGAGAACCGGTGTTTCAACGTGAAGTGGACGTTATCCCCATTTCAACAGTAAAATGACGAAACTTCACTAATATGGAGGAAGGTGATATTTATTCTGTACAATACAGAAATGGGGCACAAGGCCGTAGGGGGGATTGGGGAAAGGACGGTTTTCTTCTGTCTTAACTATAACTTAACTAGCCACAAACACTGACCCAATCGTACGAAAAATATTCCTTACACCAAAACAACACATTCATACGTACCTTTCTTACTACAACCACCATAATACCTCTTTGTCTCTATGAAAATACTAACTAGTCCTCATATTTACAATCCATTGTCTGTGGGGGGAGGGGAATAAAACAACAATTCTAAAAAAAAACTAGCCCCAATGAGTATTTACAATGTGAACACAAAAACTATTTACAAGAAACTAAAGAAAATAAGATTAGTAATAAAACCCCCCACAATGACTAAATGTGGCAGAAACATCGATTCAATGGCCGAAATCAATGCGGGACTATAATAGTATAAAACATTCATTCATGCCAAGCACTCACACTCACATGCACTCATTCAGACACAACAACAAATACGAAAAATACCACTCACGCGAAACGAAAGGCGCCCCGCATCCACCAGCGAACTGATGTCACTGACCACCTAACGAGGGAGGGGATGGGGAATTAAACTCAAAGAAAAATAGGGACAGAAATAAAAGGGGCCAATGAGCATACATACCCTACCTAAGTTCTAATATGGAGGAAGGTTCATTAGAACTATCACCATGAAAATATATATAGAAAAGGCAGAGTGAAGCTACATTACAGCGGTGGTTACGTCACTGAAATCGAAAAGCCAGGTGAGGACCAATGACATTACAGATTCTTCTTTTAAGAATCTCTAAACATATAGCAGGATTACCAGACAAGATATGGCAGCAGTTTTCAAAGAAAGGACGAATGCTAGACTTATAAATATGTAAGATAGATTCTGGTGATAGAATTTAACTGTTTTGTCCTTTGTTAATGCTGTCTAAGTAGCGAAATGTTTTTATATTCGTTGTGCAATAAATCAACTGTAGTAGCCATTTATAACCCTCCAAAGTTTTAAAAAATCTTTTTCACATAAATTTATAGAGAACAAACTTTTAAGCACTCTTATCTTCGAGTTCAAAGAAATCGAGATAGGCGCGAGGCAACGAACAAGATAAGCACGAGGCGATGAAAAATTGATTTATTACAAAGCTCCAAACCAAAAAAAATCGTGGCCGTATCCAAGTAACTTTTTCAGAATCTGTCTGAACAAAGGCTACAGGTAAAATGTTATTATTTGTCTACGTTAGGATATAATAGGTAGTTTTTTTTGTTTTTTTTTAATTCTGAAACTGTTTTCGTTTATGACAATTTACTCGTTAAAAATGAGAAAATGAGGAAAAAAATTATTTTCCGAAAAAAAAGAAAAAAGAAAAGTCGTCTGTTGTATAAACTGTATGAATGGTCTGGTGCCCCCGCTGTTCATCTCCAGGTCTTCGACAAAATCCAGAGGAGGATATGCAATGTAATAGGTCCTGATCTGGTATCTCGTCTACAGTCCATTTCTCACAGACGTGCTGTGGCTTACCGCTGTCTTTTCTACAAATATTTCCATGGCAACTGCTGTGACGAGCTACTTTCACTGGTGCTTCATCTGCATGAATTTAAGCGTGCTACTTGGTTGGCATCTCGGTCCCACGCTTTCACTGTGTTGTATAAGTAAGTTTCGTGACGACACCGTGGTTTGAAACTAGATCACCAGACAGCTACACGGGCGATTCCATTATTAAGTAGATCACGTGATCGTAAAGGAAGTGGATGAATACGAAGTAGCGTAAGGATCACTGCTCACTCTTCTTGTCTATCCACTTTTGCTATTACATTCACTGTCTCTCTACTACTATACGGATTACGATTCTCTTCTGATCATTATACTATTTGGCGATTACTACTTGAACAAGTATTACTAGTGCGAATATTATTGGAAGAAGGCGTTACTACTAGTACCGGCGTCTACGAAATCTCGAATATAACAAGCGTCTTTGCAAGTGATAACGAGATTTCACTTGACATAGCAAGAGTGACAAGCCAAGCCATCCAACATCACAAAAGTGGCGACGTGGATTCGCAAGGAATCACAAAAAGAATCTCTCCTCGCTAGTGACAAAGTAGATAAATCTGACTCGTTCGAATCTCCGTTGTGAATCCTGAATATGCCTTCTCCCGAAATACATACATATTCTCCAGCAGCTCAAATTATCGTTAGAAATCAGTGCAAATAAACCCTCTTGCTCTTCATCATTTTTAGTACTGCTTGTGTGGTGTACAAGTGTTATAGTCCCTCTGTTTATGACATGTATAAGTATGTATATATAATGTTTTATAACTGCGGGTGAAGAGGTGAATATTCCCAAGGATATTTGCGTGTAAGCGTATTTAACGAACCCGACTGGAACTGGAACACATCTCTCCGATTTCCATTTCCGGGCCGTTACACCACTTGCAGATCCAAGTTTACAGTACGTGATATTCCGAAGCAGGTCTTCGTCTTGGTACTGACCAGGTTCAATGTTGCTTAACTTTGATGATCGCACGAGAGCCAATGTTTCAATGTGATACGCCTCCTTTCTTCTAGTTCCAATTGACGCCTAGTGGCCTTTATCTCAATTCTTTGCAAGGAGTTTTTTTTTTTTTTTTGCTGGCTACTGATATTAACTTATAGCATGAAACTGACAAACGGCATGCTGTATTTATTCCTAAACCCATCATATATATATATATATATATATATATATATATATATATATATATATTATAATAATAATAATAATAATAATAATAATAATAATGGACTCTTCCGTCGGTTTCGATGTATGAGGATCTGGCAGTTTAGTTGATTCACCGTCTCTTTTAATCCAACATCTTCTTCTCTCACAGTTCCCGTCAATGGAACTCCCTTCCTATTACTTGCTTCCCTGATAGCTATAATATTCAAATATTCAAATGTAATGTCAATCGACATCTACTAGTGCCTTGAACCTGATCCGCGTCCTTCTCTATATCCTTTACTCAAACATTCCTCTTTAATTTTTACTCTTGATCTCACTCTCTGTAACCGCCTTGCGTTCTCGTGGAACTTCCGCCTTGATTGGGATGAAATTCTTTAAAAAAAAAAAAAAAAAAATGCAACACATTTGAAGAGAAAGTTCCGTCACATGACTTGCTTACATAAAGCCTGTTAACTTCTTGCTTCTTGTAAGCCCCTGTTCGTTAAGCAATTCCTGCATTTGGAAGTTCCTCGAAGAATACAACGCGGCAAAAATGTGGAAAAAAACTGAAATTCTTAAATTTTTTTTCTAAAGAAATTCACTAAGGCGAAAATTTCAAATTTCAGCGTTGCCATAACTTCAGCGTTTCATATCAGAGCATAATAAAAAAAAAAAAAAAAAAAAACAATTTTATGTCACTTTTCCTCTACCATACACATACGTAATTCCAATAGAAAACAAAAATAATACTTTATCCTTCCAGTGGATGTAACGTGTAAGAGGGAATGTTTTCGAGTTTGTCATTCTAACCTAACACGGATCTGATGGATATACTGATGGTATATATATATATATATATATATATATATATATATATATATATATATATATATATATATATATATATATATATATATATATGTAAACACACACACACACATATATATATATATCTTCAGTTGTATAGATATGAGTTTGTGACATTGGGTTTCAAGCTTTTGCGTTCATCAGACAAACTGGCTTATTTTTTAGAAATTAAATCTCTTTATGATTGTTTGTGGTGTGAGGGATAAATTCTCTGTGTCCGTTTAACATAGGTACTTCCACGAATTCGCTAAAGAAAGAGCATAGCAGAATGAAAAAGACGCCAAACTTGACGAAAACAAAATTTTATTGTCTAAATGCTTATGTTATTATTAATAGGAAACATCAAAGTTTATTTTAATTATTTTAAAGAAATTTCCTTCTTTTTAGAACATTCTAAATTTTGATTAAAAAAAACTTGTTTCTCTTTGTATCAACGGAACTAGTAAAATAACATGTACAATTTTTAACACGTTTTCTTTTCTTTTTTTTGTATGACACACATTAAATTGGTAAATGTTGCAAAAATAAAAATAATTGTCGGATGTTAATAAAACTTACAGAAACTATTCAGAGATGATCGAAATTATTATAAATATGTTTTTTTTTATTAAAGTCACGGCAGAATTAATTTTATATTTATTACCCCCCCCCTAACTAATTTTATGAAAACGCTAGAAATTCGATCGCGTCAGGTTTAGTGATTACAATAGTTAAAATCACAAGGCTTTGAGGAATGTAAATCATGTTTATTTTTTTATTTTTAATTGGACCCCCGCCACCTGAAAATCAGCTCTGAATTGTAACATACAAAACTCAATAAAACAAATATATTATTTAATTTCAAAGGCTTTTATTTGCTTTTATTTGTTTTTATGAATATGGACAATATTTTCTGAAAGCAAAAAATTTTTCGATGAAAAATAAATTTTTAATATAATTATTTGTTATTTCTTTAATTATAATAGATTTTTACGTTTAAGTTATTATATAAAATTAGTTAAAAGCCGCATCGGGTTTCCTAAGTGTCCTTATGAGATAGATCTTTTTTAGTTCGTTGTAAATTGTATCATTTTGACTAATCAGAAGATCCGCAGTAATTAAGATATGTAATTTTGTGTTTATAATCGGGCTGTAATTATAAAGTACGGAAGACCAACCAGAATACAATTAAGTTGCGTTATTTGAGTTAAGCATTATCCTCCACTTTTAAAGCCTTTACTTTTGCGAAACACGTGTGGAGAAGTTAATTTGATTTTTCAATTTCAACTGAGAAGGGTACCTACAAGTATCAGTATCATCTTATGAAATTTATATGAGCTTCTTTTTATATTAATCTCAGTTATGACATTTTTCTGTAAATGAAATATCA